ACGTTTGATCTGGAGACGTATCAGAAGAGTGTTAAGGATTACTGCACCAGGGAGTGGGCTTCCATTGAGCATGACCTTGAAGGCCGGTCGTCATCTCCAAACAGGAAAGCAGTGGACGCACGACAGGCGTGTTTCAAGGCATCTTGGCTCATCAACATGCTCTACGAGGGTATTGGCATTCCACGCATTGGGCTTGAGTCCGGCCATGGCTCGAATCACACACACTCGGCAGATCACGACCAGGAGGGTGCTTTCCGTCCTGTGAACAAGATCGATGATGTTGAGCTGAGCTGGACGCTTGGTAAAATGGTTCTTTATGCATCGGGCCAAGTTCCAGCTGAGGGAACTCCACTCCCAGTGGGAATTGGCTCCAATGTCGAATCTGGCACCCCGGTTGATTTTGAAGAGGCCGGCTCCGTCCCTCTTCTCCCCGCGGTTGATGGTCATGAGGATGATGACGACAACCTGCGGGCCCCCACAAACCACTGGTCTGGCTTGGCTGCAGTTATCTTCCTGTTAATTCTCGCTGGGTTGTTATTGAGAAAGCCCGAGAGGAGACGCAAGTTGATGAACATTGCCCGTCGTCGTCGGTCAAGCTCCAGCCGTAGGCCTGTCAGGACCTTCCCAGGCATGTCGTTGGCCAACAAACTCCTGGGAAGACATCCCCACGCCTACGAAAGGGTCATGGAGGAGGGCGATGTCCCCGAATTTGAGCTCGGTGGTGGAGATTCTGACGATGACGACTCTTCCGAGACCAGTGAGGGCAACCGAGCTGGAGTGGCATCGGGGCTGACAACTCCAAGGTTGACTGCCTTCCACGACGACCTTCGACCCCCTTCCGCCTTTGACAGACAAGGACTCTCTGTCCGGACAGATAGTCGTGAGCGAATCGCGACTGTTGGCCGACGCAGCAGGGCTGCCAGCCCCCAGAGACAGAAGAGCTCCATCATGTCACCAATCGAGCAGGAATTATAAGCGGGACATATATATACACACAAAACATATTCTTTTTCTGGAGCACAGAGCATATTTGAGGCGTTTTCGGGTTCTATGGTGCAGCGGCACCTGGTCGGTGTTGAACGATTAATATTTTTAGCAGTTATGATGGCTGCACGGATTTAATGGTGGTGTTTTCTGTTTCAATGGTGTATGGATTGGCAGGAAAGCCAAACTGTCTATGCAATTGGGGTATATCTAGTGTTTTGTTCCGCGCAGGATAGGTAACGGTCCGGTGTATGGTGTGAGCAATCCGTCCTCTTTAATACTCAAATTCCAAACATGAAGACAAATTTTATAAGTTATCCACGTGGACAATCATTTATTTCATCATATTTATTCTGTAGATTGTGAAGCAAGTGCAAGAACTGGGTATCATGATTAACTTCCATTATATGGCAGACAAATATATATATGCAGATGTATATGTACAGATCATAGGTAAATCAATCGACTTGAGTAACTGAGTCTCAGTCAGCCTGCTTCTCGAGAAAGCTCGGGTCCGCCCGGACGCGAGACTCAAACTTCTTCCACCACTCCTCGAACGCCTTGAGCGGCACGACCTCGACGCCACCCGGCCCCGCGGTGCCGCTGAAGCTGGTGAGGAAGTTGAAGGCGTTCTGTATGATGCGCTGGGCCAGGACGGCCGTGGGTGGCTGGCCACCACCTCCTCCTCCTGCTCCACCCTGTTGCCTCGAGGCGGCGAGCTCCTGCATCTGGCGGGCGACGGCGTCCTCGGGCTCGATCTCGACGCCGAGGACGAGCCCGCCCGGCGTCTCTGCCGAGGCGATCTTGAAGACGGCGCTCTCCTTCCCGGGGCCGATGGCGCCGAGGAAGCGGAACTTTGCGGCCCCTCCGTTGGCGACGACGTCCTGGGCGGTGGCGAGGTAGATTGCCGCGGCGGTCTGGGGCGGCAGGGAGACGTTGGGGAGAAGGAGGACGGTGATGTGGGTGAAGTGCTTCGAGGTGGGGAGGGCGTAGAGGAGGGACGTGGGCGAGGGGGACTGGGAGGGGGATGTGATGAGGGGCAGGCCGGCGGGGACGATGCCGAAGAGGGGGTCTGCCATTGTTTATTTTGTTGGTGCGTCCCTTTCTGTCTCTTGAGGATTGGACTGTTGTCTTGTTCCTGCGTTTCTGTGAGACAGGGAGGCGTGTGGTTGAGACAGTGGTGGGCGGATGCGCACCACTTTGGAAGCCAATTGAGTGAGCGCGAGTTGGGCGCAAGGGTTTGAAGAACCCGAGTGTTGGCTATGAGGCGAGATATAATACGATGGAAGCGAAAAAGAGAGTAAGACAAGACTGTGGTATAAGCCAGGCCGTGAGAGAAGGCTTTAAGCGCATGCGATCTTGTCTGCCAGTGATGGAAGGATGTAGAATTCCATCAAGTGGGGCGGCAGGTGCCGTGTTACCAGAATAGGAACAAGCAGCGTCAATTGGAGGGCTGCTTGGTCAAGGGGAGGCCCTTCTCAACTACCATGTACATGTTCCTGCCGTGGAGTGAGTGAGGCAGTGAGGGTAAGCAGGCCTTTGATATACATGAAGTACCTGCGCAGATTCGAACAGACGGCATTAAGGCTGCTGCTCTCGGCACGGAAAGCGCAATCGTGTGCTGTAGGACTGACTTATAAAAGTGGCTCACGCTCATTTCTTATTCCCAGGAGAGCCTCCAACCACCAGCAATACCCCGCCATTTCCCCATTCTGCCGTGTGTATCATAGCACAGCCAGGGATAGATCCGCAATGAAGACCAATCTCGACCTGATCCATGATGTCGATGGGTATGGGGGAGCATTCTTAACCGTCTCGGGGACTTGGAGCTGATCATGGCATGTCGATAGGTTTCCATACCCGGAGACAGACCCAGAGGGCTACAAGCGCTGGCAGGATGACATCTGGACTCTAGTCTGGGACGATGAGAATGGCTCATACCCCATTGGATACATTCTTGACCGCGTCTACAAGGAGCTCCTCCGGGTCCCGGTCCGCATCAAGGGCGAGATGGACTTCAACCCGAAGAACCGCACCATCAAGCTCTTTGGGAACCTCGAGACGGAGGAGCAGCGCTCAGCCCAGGTAGCCAAGCTGGCCGAGTACTGGCGGGAGAAGGAGACGTTCAAGCTCCTCAAGGGCTGGAGGAACGAGGTCTGGCCCGTCTACAGCCGCAAGGGCGAGCTGCTGTTCAGCATAGAGCGGGCGGCCATGGGGCTCTTTGGCACCATGAGGTACGGTGTGCACATGATCGCCTACATCAAGGACGAGACCGCCCCGTTCGGCTTCAAGTTTTGGGTTCCCCGGCGAGCACCCGACAAGTCCACGTTCCCCAACATGCTAGACAACACCGTGGCCGGAGGTCTCTGCACCGGTGAGGACCCGTTTGAGTGTCTGGTCCGGGAAGCCGACGAGGAAGCCAGTCTGCCGGAGGAGGTGGTGCGGTCGGGAGCCAAGTTCATCGGGAACGTCACCTACATCTACATTACGGACGAGAAGCAGGTAGGGGAGGGTGGCTTCATCTACCCCGAGTGCCAATGGGTCTACGAGCTGGAGCTGCCTAAGGATGTCGTCCCGATACCCAAAGATGGAGAAGTTGCCGAGTTCTTCCTTTCCGATGTCAACGACACCAAGAAGAGCCTTGGAAATGGGGAGTACAAGTCAAACTGTGCCCTCTGCGTTATAGATTTCCTCATCCGAAGAGGCGTTCTGACTGACGAGAATGAACCTGCCATTAAGGAGATCCAGAACAGAATACACCGCGAGATGCCCTTCCCAGGGCCACATAAAACAAAGCAGGCCCAGTCGTAAGGGCATACGATCCAAATGGTCGGGGAAACAAAACAAACTAAGAAAGAAGTTCCATTCCATTCACCTGGCCTAGCATCTCGGGATAAGAAGACGATATGTACTCACTTCACTTTCTACATTGCGCATGGTATTTGCTGTATATATGACGGTGGATCTCCCCAGTCTTTCTATTATTTGAAAAATGCAAAGTTTACACGCTTGGGAATATTCAAATGACCAGCCTATATCAGGCCTTCCAGTAACTTTTTTTTCTCTTTCCGGTGTTCATCGGGTTGATTCCTTTTGGTTTCTTTATTTGTTTTTCGGCTCTCTATTTCTTGACAAGGAGGTAGACATAGTCGACTCGCAGAGGCGTGAGCTTCTTAATTGGGCCGCTGAGCGACATGAGCAGACCTCCGTAGGACATGTAGGCGTTGCTGTAATCACAATATAGTCAGTTTACCATGGTCAAAGAGAGGGCCGAAGCAAGTAATGTCAAAGTTATAGGGGGAAACCTCACATCTTCTCTCCGTCAAAGGTCTCCTCGAACTTGTAGATCTTGCCGTAGCACACGTAGTCGTAGGCGTCGGCGATGGTGGAGGGAGCGTCGGGCAGCTTGCTGGTGTCGCGCCAGCCCTTGTCGTCGTCCTTGGTGCCGTCGTGGTTGAGGGTGGTGGCCATGACGACGAGCAGGGTGTCGCCGACGGCGCAGGGGAACAGCTCGATGTTGATGTCGAGGGTCATCTCGGTCTGGTTGTCGGCCGAGATGCACTGGATGCGCGCGACCCGGTCGTACTTGGACTGGTCGTAGTCGGTGACCTGGAACCGGTCCTCGAAGAGGGTTGCGTCTGCTCCGCCGGACATTTTTAATTGGATTTTCTTGAGCGAGGATCAAGTGAGGCAGGAGGTTTAGGCGCGCGAGGTGCGTATTTGGCGTGTTGGGGGCGCAATCGGTCGTGAAGGGCAAGGGGACTCGCTTTGTCTCGGTATGATGAAATTTATTTGGAGGGGCGGAGCTTCTGAGCTTGAGTTTGAGATACTTGCATATTGCTGAATCGGGGTACATCCCACTTCACAGCGCCAACCCCACCAAGACGAAAATCAGAACCAGAGACGCAGAAGAGTCTTTTCCACCGGGCTTTTGTTGAGCTGATTGGCTATTTTGACAGTACATGGTATGAGATTTAGGCCATTCCATCTGTCCATTTCAACACCTGCCCGTCACAATGTCTTTCCGTAAGAGGAACGTCGTTATCGGGGGCGCAGGCAACGGCGCTCCAGCTTCTGCTGTCCCCCGAAAAGACAAGGCTCTGGCTCCAGGTATAAGGCCGTCGCCTCTCGATGGACGGCTCACTACATCGACGGGCACCTCGTCGCTCGACCAACTACTTGCTGGTCATTCTGGGTTTCCCCTGGGCACATCACTCCTCATTGAGGAGGCCGGAACCACGGATTTTGGAGGCACTTTGCTCCGCTACTATGCTGCCGAAGGGCTAGTACAGGGACATGAAGTCCATGTTCTGGGTTACGATAGCAACTGGCGCCGTGAGCTGCCAGCGCTTGACCTTACTGGAGGAAGCAAGTCCCGCAGCAGCAAGAAGGATGCCCCAGTAGATGACAAGATGAAGATTGCATGGAGATATGAGACGTTTGGCAACCCTCAAGCTCGAAACCCGTCGGTCCCAGGTATGCCATTATATCAGTCCCTGACTCATATCCATGATGGAAATTCGCTGACCTGTGGTCGTCTACAAGATTCTAAGCCGTCTTCGGTACCCACGCCTGGTGGAGGAACCTTTTGCCACAGCTTTGATCTCACCAAGCGGCTAGAGAGCAGCGCCATCCAGGGCAAGCTTCACGCTATGCCCGGCGCAGATGTTCTCTCAGCGTCGCCGCAAACTCCCTTCAAGCGATTCGTGGCCGACGTGGTTTCCAAGATCAGAAACTCTCCTCCCTCGACGGTCCACAGGATCGTGGTGCCCAGTCTACTCTCGCCCACGCTGTACTCGCCCTCGGCTTGCAAACCCCAAGAGTTTCTTCACTTTCTCCACAATCTGCGTGCCATACTTAGACAGTTTCCTCATCAGACAACTGCTATGATCACATTGCCTGTCTCATTGTATCCTCGATCAACGGGTCTCACGCGCTGGGCCGAGCTCCTTGCGGATGGAGTCCTCGAATTGATCCCGTTGCCCCACCAAAGCCAGATGAGCCGTGAGCCCGGCGAGAAGGAGAAAGAACAGGGTCTTCTACGAGCACACAGCTTACCCGTGTTCCACGAAAAGGGAGGCGGCCTGGAAGGATCCTGGTCCCGGGAAGACCTGTCTTTCAAGCTCAGCGCTTCCAGCGGCATGGTCATCACACCGTACAGCCTGCCGCCAGTAGGTGACGAGGAGGAGGAGGAAAAGGCCAAGGCTGCGAAATCAGATGAGAAGAAGAAGAAAGAATCACTTGACTTTTGAACCTCAGCCATCCCATCTTCCTTCGCGTCGAGTCTACCAGCAACTGGTTCTCGGTGGAGGCAGCGCTAAAGCTCCTCTGCCCCACCACCAGCAGTAGCTCGAGTTCTACCACAGTTCACCCGAGTGACGCATTTAAAACTTTCGCCAAAAGCTTCGAAATTTATTTCCTGCTCTTACTTCAACAACAATTCTTGTTGGCGTTCGGTTGCGTACCAACCTAATATATAGAACGCACAATCTGACAAGTTGCCATCTGCTAGGTAAGCCAATGCTGCTTTTCTCTTATTTCATCCACGCAATTACATGATTATGCACATGAATATCTGTCAATCCACTGAAATTTCTGTGACGACACATTCAATTAATACGAAGACGACTTATGATTCAATTGCCCTATCCACCTTTGTTCAAACCGATTCTATTCTTGGCTTTTGAACCATCTGCTAACCGACCCCCGTTGGCAAATAGATTCCCATCATGACCACCACAGTGACAGCTTGGCCCCCGCGGCCTCTCCCGCGCATCTCCAAGATCGCAGGCAGGTACCTCGTCTTCGACCACGAGGACGCCTCCGTCCTCCGCCGCGAGGCCAACACAAACGGCTCCCTGGTAGGCACGCTGCCGCAGCAGCCCACGCAGAACATGTTCCTCGGGCTCCCCATCGAGCTCCGTCCCGAGGAGGCCGAGGCGCTCGTCCACAAGAACCTTGCCCGTGTCGTAGATGATGTCGCCGCGCACCAGGCGGCCCTGCTGCGCTCGCCTGAAAGCCGCGCCGCGTATATCCAGTCCCTCCGCAGAGACAAGGCCGCCGCCCACAAGGTCCTCGCCGAGCGCGCAGCGCAAAAGGCCGCCGTAGCAGCTGGTAAGGCGGGGGGACGTAAAAAGTCAAAGTCAAAGGCCGAGCCAGCTCCTGCTCCTGCTCCCTCTGACGGCGACGACACCCTGTTCGCCAGTGCTCCTCCGCCGGCCGTGTCCTCGGCGTCCACCCCCCGTGTTGCAGATTCCCCCATGGATAATTTCGGCGTCACGCCAACCTCGAGCAGGGACCTGATCCCCGCAGACGTAGACCGCGAGTTCGAGGTCTCGAATACCCCCCAGGGCCCCCTCGCGCGGTACCTGCAGGACGGAGGCTACCACACCACGCCGGGTCTGCGGTTCGGCTCAGAGTACAGTGTCTACCCCGGTGATCCGTTACGGTTCCACGCCCACTTCATGGCCAACCAGTATGACTGGGACGAGGAGATTCCCATCCTGGATATCATCGAGGGGGGCAGGCTCGCCACGGCCGTCAAGAAGGCCTTTGTCATCGCCGGGAGCGATCCTTCCAAGGGCGAGGCGCCGGAGAACGTGATAGCATATAGTATCGAATGGGCGGGCATGTAGACAGAAACATAATACAATAATAAGACGTTGAATACAAACTCGACATAGACTTGCCTCATCAATGATATAATATATTCTCAGGCTATTGAATCATAAACTCGCAAGTGACAGGAAGGCAGACTCAATGTCAACCGTAAAGCTCTCTCTCAAACAGACATACTTCGTGGAGCAGAAAAAGAAGGAATTCAAGACGCCAACTCCAAACTCTGGATGCAGTCGTGGTCAATAACTAAAAAATTCGGATACATACAAACGTCCGCTATCATCAACGGGGAAAGAGAATAATAACACTATAGCCTTCCCTTTTTAATCAATCGCTAGAAGTTCGCTCAGGGGACAAAGATACGGCTAAAAGAAATCACGTCCCGCCGGCAGCACACGCACTTGTCAAAGTTATTGATGGCGAGCGAGACGCGGCACTCGTCACACAAGCTGAGGCAGCGGCAAGGCCAGACAATGATGGAACGGGGTGAGCTCTGGCACACGACGCATGGAGGTCCGCCACTACCCAGCCCGGCTGCACCATCTTGCCAGGTACTAGCTGACATGCTGGCAGGCACAGCTGCAGACTGGCGTCGAGCAAGGAGCAGCTGCTCCAGCACTCGCTCCTCGTCCTCAGGCGAAAGCTTCCTGCCACCTCGCCCAGGTGCTGTCATGACTCCATCATGGGTAGGCCCTGAGCGAGGATTTGTGAGGATACGTGTTCGCTGAAGATTCTCAATGCGCCTGTACTGCGACCTTGTCATAATCTTGTCGCTCTGCAGGTGCGCGGCCAAATTGCGGGCATGCTCACGCTCCTCTCGGCTCTTAGGTTGCAGGAGACGAGCAAAATCATTCATAGAGAACGGGCTGTCGATGAAGGGGGATTCGTCTCGGGAACGACGAGGCGACCGTCCAGTGGGTGTCCTTTGTCCGTCCTCTTCAGACTCCCAGGCATACTCATCCTGACTGTCACCATCAGTTGTCGTAGCCGTGACCACGCTCGTTGTATCCCAATCGTCGTCGACCGTAGCTGGCCTGAAGTCACCGCTAGAGTCATGCCCACCCCACCATCCACCCCTAAGCCAGTAGGTGTATAGCTCTGATTCCAGGTGCTCCTCGTTCATGGAGGGCTCGCTTCGTCGGAACTCGGCTTCGATATCTTGATTCTCGGGTCTAGCGAGGGGATTTTCATCAATAGCTCTAGAACCCGAGCCTCCTGGCCCGTCCTTGGTTTTGTCCTCATCCTTGCCTTCCTTCCTCTCACTTGATCGGTTCGCCATCTGAAGCAGCCATGCAGGCTGAGCTCGAATGCGAGCAACACGGAACATCCATAGCAGGATCAACGCCGAGATTCGCGCAAAGAGTCTATGGACCGTGAGGAACAGCTCGAGGGCCATCAACCAGCGAGCACTTCTCTCGGCAGCGCCCACTCCATTGCGAATACTGCGGTCAACGCCACCTTTTGGAACTTTCTGTGCCGCCCGCTCTCTAGCGTACCCGTTTGCCGAGTATCCATATTTGCCTTGCACTGGGACGAGACCAATTGCTCCAATGTTGTCGTATTGGCTGTTTGTGAGCCCGAGGCCACTCCAATTTCTCTGCATCTCCTCTGCTTCTTGAAGACGAGCGTTATCCAACCACGTATGACTCTGTACACTCACCCCGCGGTCCTCATTGAGATAGACTGCTTCACTAGCCATAGTGACCGCGGTAAACCCTGTTCTCAGCAAAGCAGTATAAATATCCATCTCTCTAGTTATCCTAATCTCGGACAAAGAAATATTAGCCTGCATGTTTTGGTGCGCATGCATCAGGCGCTGGCGGAACGACATGCTCGCTCGTTCATCGTCTCCACCCGAGGAGAGCGCAGACAGGATCAAGGCTATCCCGTAGATAGAGAAACATATGATGATGCCAAAAAGGACAAGAATATGCGGTATCATTCCAATTATGCAAACAGCTGGGAATCGTAGCAGGCCTTGACTCGCAGGATCATCCAAGTCAAATGTCACTGTCGACCAGATGAAGGTACCGATAAAGCAGAAGGCCCAGATGCCCGTGTTGTACAGTCGGAACTTGGCTTGAAGGTCGAAAACGCCGAGCATGTGGTTCGTAACGTGGGTGATCGCACAGAGGAAAGCAATCCACAAGACTTCAGGAGCCGTATTCACGCGGTTCATAATCATCGACCGTGTCAGAGCAATAGTGGTGCCGTTCACTGCGACCTTGACTCCAGAGCCTTTGGTAAACGAACTCCAGCTCAACTGGCTGCTAATGGCTGCATCAGCCTCGGCAAAGGCAAGTGACTGTTCAAACAAGCTCATGGCTACTTCAGATGCGTGTGGCCGACCTTGGACAGTGCATGACACACTCTCAATAAAGTTACTCAAGCAAAAGCTCAGGAACAAAGGCCAGAGCGCCGATAATGATCCCTGAATATTCCGAGTGTCATCATCATCTTCTGATAAGATCATCTTGACTGATCGGCAGGACTGCTCATCAGTAGCGCCGAGAATAGTGGCGCCGAGGCGGTTAAAGAATGGATTGTTGTAGGAAAACATGAGGTCGGATTTCATGCTAGAATTTCCAAAGCGTAATTCTGAAAAATCTGGAGACGTTTGGCATTGAATAGACTGTAGTAGCCGGACGGCATGAACGGATATCAAGATGATCGGAACAATCCTAAGCAGAAGTCGGACGGTCCATCGGAGTTGTAAACGACGCCGGGTGGCAGCATAGATATGGGTTCGGTTGAGGACAACTGCCATAACGATACAGGCCAATGCCCATTTGCTTGTTACATAGCTGAAAACTCCTCCAAAGCTACGCGCTCCTTCGAGGGACAGCCGTCGGACGGTGGCTTCCTCCGCCGTGGCGGCTCCCCCGGCTGTTCCGCCTTCGCCCAAGTCCATCAGAGTTTCAAAGGTCGCATTCGCGGTTCGCAAGAGATCGGCGCCAACTGCGGCGGAGTTGGTTGCAAGCTGGCTGGCGGATTCGTTCAAGGACTGGGCATCGGAAGGGGCCATGAAGGAACCGAGCCGCTTAAACATCCGAGGACATGCCCAGACAAGGTCCTCCATCGACGGCGCATAGCGGGTTAGGTTGGCAGTCCAGGCCGTCATGCCTGTCCAATCCGTGGCATTCTGAGAGCCGAGGCCAGATACCCCTGTGTCTGCCATAGCGAGCGAGCGGGGATTCGAGGAGGTGTCTCGCGACACGGTCAGTGGATAGGCTCGGTCGATTAGGTAGCAGTGCAGAGTAAGCCCATGATACCTGAGCTGCTGCAGGAATGAGAATGCTGTTGGCCGGAAGATTATCAGCACCAGTGGTTCGCCACAAACAGAAATACCCGGTCTCGCAGGGTGATGATGCCCGGACGGTTGGTGCTTGGCAAAGCAGTCTCCCGTTGGCGTGGAGTGTAAGGTTGTAGTTGATGCTGGGCAGCTGCTATGGGGTGATAAGATGCTAGCACCTGCACCGTGCCGATATCGCGGCTCGCGTCATGGAGAAGGTGGGGCAACACGCGCCTGAACAGCACAAAATACACAGTGCTCTTTCTTGTCGCTTTTGAGATGGCACTGTGCAATCCGTTAGGTCTTATCTCGTTCGGAAATTAACAGCCAGTGTCCCGCAAGGCCAACCTTCTAATTGATCAGTAATGACCGCTCTAGAATGTAGCATAGCATCATGTGTGGAAGGCTCAATCTTATCTTGATGAAAGTTAAATTGTCACTTTCATCTGTGAGAGTGGTATCTATGTGTCGCATCACCAAAACAAAGCAAGATGAAAGAAGTATAAGGAGGCGAACCTAGCCATTTCCATTAAGTCTCATTGCCATGCGTGTCCGGACTTTGCTACGGACTTCTATTCGTTTGATTTTGCTTTCAACATGCTAAATCGCCAATCACTTATCAGCGATTTCCATTCGTGGATATCATCCTTGAGGCATGACCTCCTCTTTCCTCGACCGCCCAGTCTTCGGCGCACGTCCAGAGACATTTCGTCATTATCGAAGCCTAAAAGAGTATGTCTCAAGAAATTAGGAGCACCGGTCGATCTCTCCCCCAGAGCTATGTCTCTCGTCTTGCTGCGCTATCAGAGCATCTTCGTCTTCAAATACATGCAGGTCCTGCAACTTTGATCAAAAGCTTAGCCGCAACAACTACCCAGTAAGCAATCCATCCAATGCTCAGTTGCGATCCCACGGTCTATAACGGTCGTGAAGATGCTGCTAGCTCGAAATCCGTAAGGCGACAAGGACCGAAGTGGATTAAGGCCGTCCATGAAATAAAGGCCGAGTAAGGATCAAACTCCAGTGACTGCCTCGTTTAGAGACCCAACAATTGCCTGGCTCGTTCCTTTGCTGGCATATACAGCACGTGCTATTAAATTCCGATACAGGCCAGGATCGGTTGATGATACCTCACCTTTCAGCCATAGGTTGGTGATTTCATCCCGGTTGGGGAGATATGCAACGCAGCAGGCTGCGAGGATCTCCTCGTGTTCTGTCGCAACTGGATCGAGAACAATCTCAGACTTCCCATCATCGCTCAAGGAGACTAGGGCAGCAACACCACCCGAGACAGTGTCGACGCAATCGATGCCCGCATCAGCAACTGCAGCCGCAGCCACTGTGATACAGGCGCTAAGGACGTTCATCATGTCCCATTCCTCGCTTCCCTGGTCCACCGCAAACTGGCGAGCCTCTTCACCCTCGATAATGGTGACAACAACGTCCACTCCACTCTTTGGCCAACGATCTGCAATCAAGACGCCTCGCAAAGCTGTCTCGAGATGCGTGCTCAAATCCCGTTCACTGGCATCTCGCAGATATCCTCTCCGACTCTTCGTAGCGAATGGAGCGTACTTGACATGAGTAGTAAGAACCATATGAGGCGAAAAGGGCGCCGAGCGTGGCAAAGATCTTGGGCCATGAACAGTACATGAGAGCTTCATGCCGGTGGTAGGAGCGCCATTCCTAGACTCGACTTCAAGATAGGCTGAGCCAGACGCAGATGGTGTCACGCCAGTTTTGAGATCTTCATACTTCGTTCAGCTTTATCGTTCGTAGAGTATGCTACAGGTTAAATACCTGGCTGGGAAGAAACTTACAGACTGAACGAACAGCGTTAGGCAATCTCAACCGGGTTGGGAGAGGTAATGGGTCGTCGTCGTAAAGGGGAGGTAGGGTAGTTCCCCCAGGCCCATTGATGCGTCTCCTGTCCGCCATTTTGGCCAGATCTCACAACTCGTGTTGTAGATTGTGATAGGTTGTGTGTTCATCAACACCCAATGTATGTCTTTTGCCTTGCAGAATGCACTAAATCATGAATCCCGCTTTAGTGCATAGCGCATTACTAGATGTACATATCGGATTGTTGCATGGACCCACACTAAAGTTCCAATCTCCTTCAAAAAAAAAATTCTCTGGGCTAGAATATTTTCCAAAGAATCAACCTTCTTTCCTGCTTGAGAGCAGGACTTGGTTCAGTCACTGCTGAGCAGTGAATTCACGGATGGCTGTCATCAATCAGCCTTCATGGCTTCTTGCAGTCTGTTTCTCGTGAAATGACCATCAAAAGGTAAGTTTCTCTGGCCAGCGCGAGCTTCACGCGCTTCTCTTCAAGCCACCATTTCCCACCCTTTCCTTCATGATGATTTCCTATCCACTGTTCCCGCGACTACCTGAGCGCTTTGAACAAACATGCACTACCATCTGATCTCTATTGCTTCATTGGATCAATTTTTTTTTCATACGCATGAAGCGCACATCGACTAACTGTGCCAAAAGCCAGAACATGTTTTCATTAGACCAGAACAGTTTGTCGATCTACTTGCCCAGTAGATGATCATGTAAGGTAAGCCAACCACAATTTTTCTCTCCGTGCATCCCCTCTTCCCTGTCGATGATGAGAAACTTTTTCATCCAGTTCTGCTACTGAACCAATGTGATGACTCCCAATTTACCATACCAAGATCTCTGATACGATCTCTTGTCCTTCATTATGCCATTGCTCTGTCTTGTTGAGGACCAAGCTAACAGACAAAGAAGTTTTCCAGGATTCGTTTCTCCCCGTAGTTGGTCATCCCGAGTACCATCAAAAACCTCAATGGGTAAGTCGATATTGTAATTTTTTCCTTCACCTTCAGACCATCTCGTCTGGATGATGATAACAAGTTATATCCATTCAACGATTGTCCTGGCCAAGTCGTCCTCTCACACCTTAGCTTACCAGACTTGTCTGGCGAGTGATGATGGGTTGTAGAGTTGCCTACCCCGTAATTCGACTCCAGCGCTTGGGAAAGGAATGGTTCGTTTTGAACCGTTCCTGGACTAGGACGGCCAGGCCGACTGAGTAAACTGGCTTGTCTGACCTTCAGCATTATTTTTATTTTATTTTCTACATCTACTTGCGTTTTTCGTTGAGCCAACGACTAACAATTGAAAAGCCACAGGGACACCTCAGCATAAGCGCAAGCCCATATTCAGACGTAGACGTAACCCCGTGGTAAGCCACCTTGAAGTAGCAATGATGTAGCCGCTCTGGTCGTAGTTTTATGCCAACAGCTCAATTGATGTACCGACGCAAGCCTGCTTGATGAGGCTACCTTATTTGAATCCTCGACTACGTGACTGCTGGCCGTCTGTGAAGCACCCCATCCCAATATCGGTGGTTGATGGAAAAATTGATCATGAAACACAGCGAGATCTCAAAAAATACAACTTGGAGTCGCGGCCGTGATTATTAAGTGGGATGGTTGGGGTCTGTTGGTATGGGAATTATGGCCCCTCCTTGCACATGAAGACAAAAGGAGACAGGCGCTGGAGGTGCTACGTATCAAATACAGAAGGCAGGTGCTAATTGACAGGCCGCCGGCAGTCGGGCAATCAAAAGATCCATCCGTCGTCGCAACATCTACCTGGACAGAATCCTCATGTAAAAGCCTACAATTAATCAACCACCCTCCCTATCCCAGCTCGCGTTTTGCAGGCGGTTCCCACCGTCAATGGTGTTCTGATCTTGCCAAGCTTTGGGGCACTAAGGTCGCATTGATTATCGGTGTCTGCTGCAAGAGCCTGGACTTCTGGAAAACTGTCCAGAGACACCGTCGCTTGCGGCTGTCAGGGGTTCAACCATCGACGCGGAACCTCTTTATGTATTTCCTTCAGCCTTCAAGATGATGCCCCGGCATCAAGCGAGCGGTTTTTCCAATGGATATCCGCGTGAAAAGACCTTTGACCTCTCTCCACACAGGTTTGCCTCCATCCGATGGCTGTTTCTCTACATTGACTTTCGCTAACTTGGTTCTCCTACCAGCTTCCAACCTCGCACATCCATCGCAGCACAACGGCAGCGCAAGCGATTATTCATTCGACTCGGCATAGTATTCTTCGTCGTGATTCTTATTACATTATGGGTTTGGCCCAAGAGCGCTTTCGCCTCGGTGTTGTCGCTGGGCCTACTCGGCGCATCGTCAGAATTAGAGTTGGAGACGGTACGATACTACGATTTAACAAACGTGCAAGGCACAGCACGAGGATGGGAGCGCGAGGAGCGTATCCTCTTGTGCGTTCCACTGCGCGATGCTGAACCACATCTTTCAATGTTCTTCTCCCACCTACGAAACTTCACATACCCGCACCACCTCATCGACCTCGCCTTCCTCGTCTCAGATTCGAAAGATAGGACCCTCGAGGTTCTTTCAGACAACCTAGAACAAATTCAAGCAGATGCTGATCCGAAACAACCATACGGAGAGGTCTCGATCATCGAGAAAGACTTCGGTCAAGAGGTCAATCAGGATGTTGAAAGTCGTCACGGATTCGCCGCGCAGGCGAGTCGAAGAAAGCTGATGGCCAAAGCTCGGAACTGGCTTCTGAGCGCCGCCCTTCGTCCTTACCATTCGTGGGTATATTGGCGAGATGTGGATGTCGAGACCGCGCCGTTTACGATTCTTGAGGATCTTATGCGACACAACAAGGATGTCATTGTTCCAAGCACGTATTTCCTCGATCCCTCCGACAAACCTATAGAACTAACAATTTCGTAGATGTCTGGCGACCCCTTCCCGATTGGCTTGGTGGTGAACAGCCGTACGACTTGAACTCATGGCAAGAATCCGAGACCGCCCTCGCGCTTGCAGACACATTAGACGAAGATGCCGTCATCGTCGAGGGCTACGCCGAGTACGCCACATGGCGGCCACATTTGGCCTACCTTCGAGACCCCTACGGCGACCCAGACATGGAAATGGAGATTGACGGCGTCGGCGGTGTCAGTATTCTTGCCAAGGCCAAGGTCTTCCGAACTGGCGTCCATTTCCCCGCCTTCAGCTTCCAGAAGCATGCCGAAACTGAGGGCTTCGGAAAGGTGCGTGCCTCATGCCGATGCAACGTTCGAAAATATACTAATATATTTTTAGATGGCCAAGCGCATGAAGTATTCCGTCGTAGGCCTTCCTCACTACGTTATTTGGCATCTTTACGAGCCCAGCGTTGATGATATCAAGCATATGGAAGTAAGTGTTCGAACTATAGCAGCAACTGTCTCGGTCAACATACTAACTAAAGTCCCTAGGAGATGGAACAGGAGCGAATTGCGCGGGAAAAGGAGGAGGAGGAGAAGAAGGCCAAGGCAGCGAAACTGAAGGAGCAGTTTGGTGATGGCGCTGACACTTGGGAACAAGACAAACAGGAGCTGAAAGAGCTAAAAGAAAAAGCAGCTGAAGAGGAAAAGCGACGAGTCAAGGAGGAGAAAGCAAAGGTCGCCCAACTAAAGCAAAATACTAACAAAGAGAAGCCCGCGGCCCAAGACGAGAAAGCCACAACCAATCAGGCCAAACCCAAAGCTAAGCAGGAGAAGTCACGAGCCAAACAGGAGGAATCTGAGGTCGATGACGAGAAGCCTGCAGCTGGCAAGGGCAAATCAAAGGCCAAGCAAGAGCAGTCTGAGGTTGATGAGGAGAAGCCCAGGGCTAATCGTGAAAAGCCCAAGGCCAGTCGACAGAAGCCCAAGCCCAAGCAGGAAAAATTGGCTCAGGCGGAAGTCGAGGATGACAATGTCGTGGCAGGCAATTCCGAAAAGAAGCGATTCGCAGAATAAAGGCGTTATACTGGTTAGAGGTGGTCTTGTTACGGATAACATGACAAGCCTGGGTTTTTTACACTGTGTGTCTTTGCTGTACTTTTATCACAATTATCTGGGCATTATTACAGCCTGTCTGCATTATCATGAATAGTGTTTTCTCCGTGGCCGCTTTGCATGACATTTTCTCCAGCATGTCCCGTTCCAATGCAATGTGTTGAATTTTAGCTTGGAGAAGGCTACGAAGTATCAACGTTTGACTTAATACGTAAGCATACAATCGTCCTCGACAGGTAATTTTTGATCCAAATTTGATTGATTAGTGACTGCAAAACAATAATTTCCTTACCAAAGATCGCATTGCCCTCTAGATATTCTCCAGAGATAGAGGAAAGGGCTTAATAATAATGTGGTCGCGATTGCTGTAAGAATATGAAGTAGTATAGGTTAGGAACTCCCAAAGTGGTCCCATTTCGGCAGGGGTTCAAGCGACGGAAATTGTAGGTAACAGAATATTATACGCCCGGACATTAGCTGTTGGGTATAATAGATGAGTTATGGGCCTCTACTGTTGGTGATATAGTCTGATATGAAGTAATTCACGACCACATGTTGAAATGTGCTGCCGAATTGTATGTGACAGACAGCCACTGATCGACGTAATGCCGGTGGTCGGTGGTTGAATGGCCGCTACAGTGTCTCTTGGAAGCCCGCCCGGACACATTACAGTTACAGGCACCTGCTGTCAATCCACTCCAGCCGAGTTGTAACTGTGGCCCCAGTAAGCTTGAGCCCCCACCGGCCAATCACAGGCATTCATCGACGACACCGTTGAAGCTCCCCTGGCAGCAACTACGGGGTGCTGGCTGCTGCTAACCAAGAAACTCGTACGAACTTGTCTGGCAGATCTGGCTTTTCTTTTTCTAGGAGTCATTGTTGCCACTGCTCAACGCCTCGGTAACGTCTGACGGGTGCATGTTGGGTCGGCTCTCGTTTTTACATCTGTTCGGTGGGTTGCACTACCAAAGCGCGGCTGCTTACCGTGGCAGGCAAGGCTAACACTTCCTCCCCCGTCTTCCCGCTTCTCCAGATTATCCAAGATCATGAATCGCGATGCTTTCGTTTCCTTGAATCCGATGGAGGGCTCGCAAATCATTGAGCAGCGCGGCGACGCCCCGCGCATGCAGTATCGAAGTCGCCCGGTGTCTGTCGCCGTAGACCCCATCTCCTTGGTCATCTCCGAGTGCATCTCCATCACATCGGCCATCCAGAAGCATGCACGCTCTCAGCACTCCTCCGTCTCGGCCATCCTGGGAGGCAATCCGAACTCCATAAACCTAGGGCCGCCCAGCCCGAGCCCGCGCGGTCGGGCCAAGAGTCCAGCCCTATCCATCGATGGCAATCCGGATGGTTTGGGGACGAGCCGATGGGGGCTGAGGGGACAAAAGGGGAAGAGTATGCAGGACAATCCCTTGATCGCAGGGTTTGGCAAGCTGAGGCATGAAATCGCTGGTATCAAGGGTAAGACCCGGACTCTATCATCTGGTGTCGCTTGGGTGAGCTGCTAACGTGGGCGACTAGACATCAAGTCCTTCGACGCACCGTCTCTTCTGTCGCCATTCCTGAATGTCATCCAGGCAAAGGGAACCGCGGCACCGATCACAATCCTCGCCCTCGGAGCTCTCAGAAAGTTCCTCGCATACGGTTTCATTTGCCCCGAGTCCCCACGATTCGCCCATGCGATGCAGTCGCTCTCTGCGGCCGTCACACACTGCCAGTTCGATATAAGCGATTCAGGACAGGCCGAGGTGGTGCTGCTGATGATTCTCAACCTTATGGAGGATATGATGTCCGGTCCTGGAGGCGACATCTTGAGCGACGAGAGTGTCTGCGACATGATGGGCCGGGGGCTGGCTATCTGTTCCCAACCACGGTTTTCCCCAGTGTTGCGGCGCACCGCTGAAGCCGCCATGGTCCGAATGTGCCAGATCATTTTCGAGGATATCAAACATTTGGAGGTCGAGGCTGGATCCGAACCCGAAACCTTGGATCAGCAGACTCAGGACGATTTGGACAGCGTACGGATGGATGCGAAACCCGAAAAGGCTGTGGCACCTCTCGATTCCGAGTCACAGGGCACTAAGAGCTCCGAATCTGAACGAGAAGAGAAGAAGTCAAGCGAGGAAGGCGAGACTGAAGCCGAAGAAGGAGACGAGTCGAAGATCGACAACCAGTTGGAAATAGAAGAAACAGAGTCCCTGGATCTCAAGCCATACTCCCTACCTTCGGTCCGAGAGCTATTCAGAGTCCTCGTTAATTTCCTGGATCCTCACAATCCTCAACATACCGACACTATGCGCGTCATGGCCATGCGCATCATTCATGTCGCCCTAGAAGTTTCGGGACCCTTCATCGCTCGCCACCCGGCACTGGCGACTATCGCGGAGGATCGATTGTGCTGCTATTTGTTCCAACTTGTGAGGTCTGACAACATGGCTATCCTGCAGGAATCGCTGATTGTTGCTGGAACCCTGTTGGCAACCTGCAGGGGAGTCCTCAAGCTACAACAGGAGCTCTTCCTAGCATACGTCGTGGCCTGCCTACACCCATCTGTTGAGATCCCACGCGAACCTGGAATCGACCCCTCTCTGTATGCTGGCATTCCCCAAGCACCCAGACCTGCTGCGGGAAGCGGGCGAGCGACACCCGTGCCAGTCCAAGATCGTCGACAACTCGGCTTGGAAGGCGGTCTTCGCAAACCAGACGCTCGCCAGGCCATGGTCGAGAGTATTGGAGTTCTCTGCAGGATGCCAAATTTCATCACCGAGTTGTTTGTGAACTACGACTGTGACGTGGACAGGTCTGATTTGTGCGAGGACATGATTGGACTGCTCGCACGGAATGCTCTGCCTGATTCTGCTACTTGGAGCACCACCAGTGTGCCCCCTCTGTGCCTTGATGCCCTTCTGCGATATATTCAATTTCTTGCTGAGAGGCTTGATGATGAAGAGAAAACGAGCGAGGGATACCCTGATCCTGCTTTTCTGCGCGAGCAGCGACGGAAGAAGGGTGTCATCATCAAGGGTGTACAAAAGTTTAACGAGAAACCACGAGGAGGACTGGCATATCTGGAAGCACAGGGTATTATCAAGGACCCCAATGACGCTAAAGAAGTTGCAAAATTCCTTCACGGAACTTCTCGTGTCTCCAAAGCGGTCTTGGGTGACTTCTTGTCTAAGAAGGGCAACGGAGCGTACCTGGAAGCCTTCTTGGACCAGTTTAACTTCTCTGGCAAGCGTGTTGATGATGCCTTGCGACTTCTCCTTGAGAGCTTCCGTCTCCCTGGAGAGGCTCCTCTCATTGCAGTCATCGTTGAGGCATTCTCGGACAAGTACATGGCTGGCGACGACCCTGATGAAGTGGCCCACAAGGATGCGGTCTTTATCCTGACGTATGCCATCATCATCCTCAACACAGATCAACACAGTCCCAGGCTCAAGGACAACAAGAGAATGACTTATGAGGACTTCTCACGAAATCTGCGGGGACAAAACGACGGCAAGGACTTCGCGCCTAGCTTCTTGCAAGATATCTACAACTCGATCAAGTCGAACGAGATCATTCTGCCTGACGAGCATGACAACAAGCACGCATTTGACTATGCCTGGCGTGAGCTGTTGCTCAAGGCCGAGTTAACTGAGGACCTGGTTCTCTGTGACACTAATATTTACGACGCAGACATGTTTAATGCGACCTGGAAGCCGATTGTTTCCACTCTCTCCTACGTGTTTATGTCCGCTACTGACGATGCCGTCTTTGCACGGATTGTTAGCGGCTTTGACGAGTGCGCCCGGATCGCTATCAAGTATAATAACACCGAGGCTCTCGACCAAATCGTTTTCTGCCTCAGTCATATGACCACTCTTTCGAACGATTTCCGTTACAACACTTCTCTGAACACTGAGGTCCAGGCTGGAGACGGCAGCGTCATGGTTAGCGAGCTGGCGGTGAAGCTCGGCCGGGACTTCAGAGCGCAACTTGCCACCCTTGTCCTGTTCAGGGTCCTTACTGGTAGCGAGAACCTAATCCGTAGTAGCTGGAAACATGTAAGAAACGACAGTCCTATTTGTGCCTATAGCTTATCTCATCTTGCTAACATTTATACCCTAGATCATTCGCATATGGCTCAATCTCTTTTCCAACTCTCTGACGCCGCAGTTTTCGTCGCCAGACCTCCCAGACCTGCCCATTCCACCCATTCCTTTGCAAACTCCCTCCCAAGTGATTGATAGGGCGAACAGGGCACAAGAAACGGGGTTCTTTTCAGCTTTCACGTCTTATATTTCGAGTTATGCTGCAGATGACCCTCCTGAACCTTCGGATGAGGAGCTTGAGAGCACACTTTGCACAGTTGACTGCATTAAGTCCTGTCATATTGAGAAGGTGTTCCAGAATGTCTCGTAAGTACTGTCCCTGTTCAGATTTTGAGATTGTTCGGCTAGTCTAACAAACTGTATAGAAATCTTCCGTTGGAATCCGCTAAATTGCTGGTTGAAGCACTCCTTGAACAGCTACCTGAGGATAACAACAACACTGTGATTAGTGTGAAGCATGAGAACATTCCCCAGCCTGCTCCCCTAAATGGTCACGAAGCGGGCCAGCAGCCCTTGGAGTACGATCCCTCCGTCAACTTCCTCTTGGAGGTCTCTACAAGGCTCGCGCTGAAGAGCGAAGCTGCTGTCGAGGCCTTTGGCAAGCAAGTCTTTGATGTTCTGCAGGGTATTCTTCGTGACTCGAGCCAGTGGCATACTATCACTGTGTCTCGAGCTACGTTCTACTCTCTGAGCATCCTCAAGTCCAGCTATGTAGGTCTTTGCGATCATGAGGTTGAGGGATAATAAGCTAATACTTGATACAGGATTATGATTTCGCGAATGTACCCTATCTGCTGCATAACATTTCTGGTCTCCCGCATACTACGCTTGCTAAGGGAGCAGCTCTCACCCTTGCTGGTCTTTCGGCATGCATCGAGCAGCCTGGACCGCTGAGGAGCGAGATCATGACATCTCCAGACTTTTGGGCCATCCTCCGCATCCTTGCCCGGAACCGCGAGTCTTCTCCTCTTGTTTTCAACGTTTTGGAGAAGGGCTCGACTGGAAATCCTCCTGCGATCATGGCTGATAATTATGAAGCGGCTATCTCCCTGTTGAATGATTATGCCACGGCGGCGAACCCTCTTGTCCATGCTGAGCCAAGGCCAAAGCAACGCCAGCAAGAGCGACAGGTTCAACCCAAGTGAGTCCGCTCAATGAACCGGCTAAATAAATGATACAATTTGCTGACAAGGAAACGTATTTCTAGGGACGATGAGACTATTGCTCGAGGTTGCAAGGCTGTGGTTATTCTGCAGGCAGTCAGTGCTCGTATCCCGCAATTGATGCAACAGTCACAGCTTGAAAGCAGCGAAGGTATGTCGTACCACATTCTAGCAAACTACTAATTTTAGCTCGAGACTCTTACTGACTCCGTTGCAGCATGGTCGGCATACTGGCTGCCATTCTTCCAGTCTCTAACGGCCCAGTGCATCAACCCCTGCCGTGAGGTCCGTCACCTTGCTTTCTCAGGCTTGCAGCGCTCTTTGTTATCCCCAGACCTCACATCCAGCGACCCGAACCAATGGACGGCCATCTTTGGACAGGTCTTGTTTCCTTTGATTCATCGGCTACTGAAGCCTGAGGTTTTCTCGACCGACCGCGATGGCATGAGCGAGATGCGAGTGCAGGTTTCCTCGCTTCTCTGCAAGGTATTCTTGCAGTATCTGGTCCTGTTATCTGAGTGGGAGGGCATGCTTGATCTCTGGGTTGAGATCATAGACATTATGGATCGCCTGATGAACAGTGGGCAGGGCGATAGTCTGGTAAGTTCTCTCACAGCATTGTTGGCGTGTCGGAAATCGAGTACTAATCAACATAACAATAGGAGGAGGCAGGACGTGAAAACCTGAAGAACGTGGTCTTGTTCATGTCAAGTAGCGGATATCTGGTTTCGCCCAGAGAGGATCCATCCAAGAAGGAGTTGTGGGTGGAGACTTGGAAGCGAATCGACCGCTTCATCCCCGATCTCCGCACCGACCTGGCCCTCGAGCCGGAGGGGCCAGAGGAACCAGAGGAACCAGAAGTGCAGACGGAGAAGCCCAAGGCAGAAGTCAAGGTGGAGTCCAAGCCACTGGACGAGCAGGAAGACGATGATGCGGAGCGAGCTGCAGAGGGCAGCGCAGAGGCGGGGAAGGCCGAAGAAGTCAAGGCTGACGCATAGAGTAGAAAGTAAAAAAAGGAGGGCGGGAAAGGAAGGGGGATGTTTATTAGACAGAAGTGTTATTGGGTTGAATTTGGCAAGCTTTTGGTAGAGGGCCCAGCTGATCAGAATCGGCGTGGCCTTGTATAACTATCTACACGAGGATGGGCGTTAATTAGTAAAGAGGAGGGGAGGTCAGCCAAAGGTGTCCGCGGCAGGCAGAACTGTACATAATGATAGACCCTTTGTAGATGGCTTTCGATTTGCGGTCCATTTTCCCAATGAAATGAAGTGAGCCTGTATAGACCGGATATATTTGTCTAGGGGTTGGAATAGTAAGGGTGAGATCTGATAGACCCATGATCTGACTCGAAGCCGATTGTATAGAGCCACAGCCGAGTCTTGTGACTGGGCCAGACGGTTGTAGTCGATGGGTGTGACTGCACCGCGGGAGCCAGTCTTCCGCCCGAAGCGCACATGACGATAGACAAACTAGCTAAGAAACAGCACACCCTGCCTGGTATAAATAATGTCTGATATTGATTTGTTCATTGCTATATTTGTTAGTAACTGACAGATGGTTGACAGGCTGTAACGGCGCTACTGCATGGGAAGGCCCCACCATCGATCCCTCCAACAAAGGACGTCATACCGTTTCTGCGACGTGCTACCGGTTAATACTGGAGAGCTCTAGAGCACCTGCCCAGCTTCAGTTCCGACATCTGCATCCATACATCCATACGCCTTACACCCCAGCTGCGACCCAGGCCCCGGGATCGAGTTACGAGCTGAGACTTAAGCTCGGTGGCTGGTCTATTGCGAGATAATAGTATTGGCAACGAGCCTGACGAACGCTCCGCCATCACCAACTCACGGGCATTCAAACACCAGCGTATGAATCATCGACCGACAAATCCTACATTGCCGCCATGACCTAGGCTCCCCGACCCTAGCCAACCAATGTCCAGCAGAGATGGCGGACTCAACAACACCCAAGGAGCCTGCGAGCTCCTCCGCGAGCGAGATCGCAGCCAAGAGCGGCCCCGAGACGCCCAAAGAAGACCGCGTCTTCCCGATGCTGCAGAACAACAATGCCGCCAGCCCAGCCCAGTCCGATGCCGCCAACGGCCCCGGGAGGCTGAACGAGGAGGACAACGACGATGAGCCTTCTGTCGCAAAGCCCTTCATCCGGACGTCCAGCCCCGACTCGGCCCTCCGAACTCCTGCCACCGTTAGCGCCGCCTTCGACGACAAGACCCCGGACCGCCTGAGCTACAAGATGCACAAGTTCAGCTTGTACGAGACCGCCAGCCGGTACTATATTGTCGGGGTCGACGTGAGCGAGAAGTGGTACAGGATTCTCAAGATCGACCGCACCACCGCGGGCGCCGAGCTGAACATGACCGACGACAAGATTGTGTACAGCCTGAAGCAGATGAGCCAGCTACTCGACACCATCGACGACGGGAACAAGGGTACGGGTGGCATAAAGCTCCGTTGCACCACCTGGGGTCTGCTTGGATTCATTAAGTTCACCGGGCCATACTACATGCTGCTCATCACCAAGAAGAGCACCGTGGCCATGATTGGCGGTCACTATGTGTATCAGATCGAGGGCACCGAGCTTGTTCCGCTGACGCCGGCCAAGTTCAAGCCGGACGGGAAGAATTCGGAGGAACAGCGGTTCCTGGGTATCCTCAACAACCTCGACTTGACTCGCTCGTTTTATTATAGTTATTCCTACGACATAACCCATACTTTGCAGCACAACATTACTCGAGAACGGAACGCCCTAGGCAAGGGCATGCTGACTATTAATGAGGAGGACTGTAATTCCATGTTTGTCTGGAACGATTATCTTTTGCAACCGGCTGCGGAAGCTCTGAGAGATCCGTATGATTGGTGTCGTCCCATCATCCATGGGTACATTGACCAGGCGGCGCTTTCAATCTACGGAAGGACGGCGCATATTACAGTTATTGCCAGGCGTTCTCGATACTTTGCTGGAGCGCGCTTTCTCAAGAGAGGAGCAAATGACCTCGGCTACGTTGCGAACGATGTCGAGACGGAACAGATCGTCGCCGAGTCCCTGACGACATCGTTCCATTCTCCCGGCCCTCGACTATACTGCAGTCCCCAATACACGTCGTACGTCCAGCATCGTGGAAGTATACCTCTATACTGGTCTCAAGACAACACAGGTGTTACCCCCAAACCCCCTATTGAGCTGAACCTGATCGACCCCTTTTTCTCTGCCGCTGCTACCCATTTCGACAACTTGTTTGAGAGGTACGGAGGGCCTATATACGTCGTCAATCTCATCAAAGCCAAGGAGCGGCAACCTCGCGAGTCGAAGCTGCTCCAAGAATACACACACGCTATCAACTATCTCAATCAGTTTCTTCCCAAGGATTCCAAGATTATTCACAAGGCTTGGGATATGAGCCGTGCGTCGAAAGTGCGAGGCGGTGATGTCATTGGAAATCTCGAAGACATTGCTGAGTCTGTTCTTAATACGACCGGGTTCTTCCAGAATGGAGACGGCAGGACAAGCCCCATGTCGGCGCAGAATGGGATTGCTCGAACCAACTGCATCGACTGCCTTGATCGAACCAATGCGGCCCAGTTTGTCATCGGGAAGCGTGCTCTTGGTCGTCAGCTCCACGCTTTGGGCATCCTGGAAAACAACACGGTCGAGTATGACACAGACGCCGTAAATCTGTTTACGCACATGTGGCATGACCACGGAGATACGATTGCCGTGCAGTACGGTGGCTCTCAGCTGGTGAACACAATGGAAACATATCGAAAGATCAATCAGTGGACAAGCCATTCTCGAGACATGATTGAGAGTTTCAAGCGGTACTACAACAACTCCTTCCTCGACAGCCAGCGACAGGAGGCATACAACCTCTTCCTGGGTAACTACATCTTCTCCCAGGGGCAGCCGATGCTCTGGGACCTGGTCACAGACTACTACCTGCATCACGAAGACCCCCGGGAGTGGTCTGACAAGCCCAGACGCGACTACATTGACTGGTTCACGCCAAAGCACCTCGAAAAGCGAGAATTGCCCCCGTTCGTGCCTTTGCGAGGGGGGACCGCATCGCAGCCTGTTGAATTCTTTGATGATTATTGGCTTGAGTACTATCGTCCAGCTACTCTCTCCTCCTTCCCTAAGATGTTCGCATTCAAGATGAACTCTACCATAAAGTACATTCCATTCAAATCCACCCAGGACGGTCGGTACGACCTCAGCCCGTTCCGAGTACGTACGGACGGCGAAGTGTACACCGAGAAGAAACGGGTGAAGAAGGAGCTCACCATGCTGAGCGCGGGCTCGGGCAACAACACCGGCGCCGACGATGACGCCGCGTCGATTGCCCCCGGGCAGAACGGCGGTCCCAGGGGCATGTCGCTGCAGCGCTGGCTGCACCCGGCACAGGCGAAGGACCTGGGGGCGGCGCAGGGCAGGGACGGCCTGAGCTCCATCGAGGAGGCCACGGGCAAGCCGACGCAGCAGGAGAAGACCAAGGAGGAGCAGTGGACCTTCACCAAGGCGGTGCACGACTCGCTCAACCCGTCGGTCCAGGACCAGGAGGCGCAGGACTATGAGCGATATGTTCGCCACCCGCAGACGATCCCCCTCGTCGTGTCGACGGACACGCCCGCGGACATTGACTCGTCCGAGTACACCGAGTACATCGAGGGCGACTGGAGCACGCAGGGGCTCATGGTGACGGGGACGGAGGAGGAGATTGACGTGTACGCCGAGCTGATCAAGATTGCGGAGAATCCCCTCACCGTGGCCGAAGAGGACGCCCCTAAGAAGAGGTACAAGGCTTATGGGAAGTGGCTCCGCGGAAAGTCGTTTTTCAAGCAGCAGCCTGTCGATTGAAAGGAGGGCCTGGGCTCGAAAAGAGGTCGCACATCGCTTTGAGGGGGACTGGCTCTAGGGACCGTTCGGTACCCAGGAGAAGAGCTTCGATAGTCGGGGCTCCTTTTGCAGGATGGGCACCAGGTCGTTTGATAATTGGGACGAATCCTCATTCTTACTCAATGCGTGCATTATATCGGCGCTTCGTCGCAGCTCATCCGTAAGTAGAGTCAGGTCCCGGCCTGATGGGCGAGATGCTAACTCGCCGTCGTACAGGTTCAGCCAGCAGATAGATATGATGCGTATCACCTCGGCTGTGTACTTGGGTTCGGACGATATTCTTGGCCAGCAGTTCCGGAGGCAGGCGTTGAGAGTCTTGACCGCTTCGAGGAGGGCGGTCGGGCGGGATATAATGAAGGGGTCTGTTATCACTGAAGAGAACATGGGGAGTAGATTCTGTTTTAATGGATGGGATGGATTAGAGATACGGCTTGGAGTTTTTTTTGGGGGGAGAATTGGGGGGTTAATAACCCACCTGGAGGTGTTTGACGGAATACACTTCCAAGCAATCGAGGATAGCGGTTGTGTTCTTCATCAATGTCTCTACGACTAACATGTATTCTGAAGCGTGGAAATAGCCCGTGAACACGCCATCCCGAAACACCTTATCGAGCAACTTTCGCCTTGACGGGCTGCGGGGGTCTGTTTCCCGCTGTGCTAGCGCCAGGAGCGCCTGGTACGCGGCGTCGATGAGCGGGACTGACTCTTCCTCGGGCGTCAGGCTGGGGAGGTAGAGGAGCGATGGGAAGATGGCCTCCTGGAAGACTGTGCCGATGCCTGTTGACTGGAGGATCTTGAGAGGACAGTTGCGGATGAAGGTGGCTAAGATCTCCAGGCCTGCCTGCCTCGTTGACGAGTCTGCGTCCTCAACGAGGGCTAGGAGGACGGGGGCGAAGAGAAACCAGTTGTTAGCGACTAGTTCTTCCTAAATAATCAAATCAGTGTGTTAGCCGTCAGTTGGAGAAGTAAAGAGAACGTGATAAACTTGCATCTGCGGCGTTGACGGCCCATCGAAAGATGGGGATTATCCTGAAGCCGTGCTTTTTCCAGGCGGGTGGCTCGACGCCCTGGCGGTGGGAGTTGG